CTCTCTCTCTCTCTCTCTCTCTCTCTCTCTCTCACACACACACACACACACACACACACACACACACACACACACACTCACACACACACGAGAATCAACCAAGATCAGCCACCAATATGCCCAGGAGCCAAGTCCCCCCCCACACACACACACACACTCTGAGACAGTGTTTCTCTGTGTAGCTTTGATGCCTGTCCTGGAACCAGGCTGGCCTCAAACTCACAGAGATCCACCTGCCTCTGCTTCCCAAGTGCTGTATTAAAGGTATGCACTACCACCGCCTGGCTCAGTATTCTTTATGGCACTTTGCTAATCATTCTTCATGGTTTTTCTATGAAATCTTGGTATGAATTTTTGAGTGTCTTTGTTCTTATTTGCCTTTTGTTAATGTCAAGCATAGCATGTTGGATAATTCAGTGTTGTTATGCAACTGCTAAATTCAATATTTATTATTAGCAAAACTGAGTAGTGTTAACATTCAGTGAACAGAGGACAGCAGAATGTGGATCTATACCGTGTCTAAGTGTAAAGTTAGTGTATTGAGGCAAGTGTGAACAGAAGAGAAATGACTTGTATATGGTTATTATTTAGAACAAAATTAGTTGTGACTAAATAGTTTTTTTATGACTAAATTTGTTGTTATTGTGCTGTTGACTGCTTGCTTACTAGAAAGTACGTGTGCTTACTCCCCTCCCCTAATACAGAACTTGAATTGGTAGCCCAGGCTGGGTGTGGAGCTTAATATGTAGAGTAGCTCTGAACTTGTGGCATTCCTTCTCACTTAACCTCTTGAATGCTGGATTATCGGCATACATCATATCCAGTCAGTGCCCCCCCCCTTAATCTGTAATTTTTTTTGGTAGTGATTATGTTATTGTTATTCTTCAGTTGACCTATTTCAGGTTCTGTTCTTTGTAAATTTTAAATTATTATCTCTCAAGCTGTTACCTCTTTTTCTACTTTGCTAGTATTTCTTGCTGTATTTACATTTTCCTTTTTAGAAATTGAGACTTAGAGCACAGCACGACATAGTAGTACTTGTAACCATAACACTCTGGAAACTGAGGTAGAAGGATCAGAATTGGATATCATCCTGGGCTATATACATATTTCTTATAATTAAACCCTGGTGAAAAATATTAACTTACTCTTTCATGTAAGAACTACCAATAACCAATCATATTTGTCAGCTAGATTTTTAGATATTTAATTCTAAGATACTCAAATGTTTTCACTCCTATTTATAAAAATAAAAGTTTCTTTCTGGAAAATAAGAGGTCTTAAGAGTTGGAGACTGTTTTTGAGATTTACTTAAAGGAACAGGGATTAGCTATTGAAAGTATATAGTCTCCACGAGCTATGATAGATAGCTTTTTTTAAATATTTATTTATTATGTATATATAATCTTCATCATTGTTCCTAACCCAAATACTTTATTTTTTTCGAATGTTTGGAAGAGCAGGAGGATACAGTAATTAGTTATATTAGGGGATTAATTAGGGAAACAATTTGCTATTTGATTAATGAGTAATTTAATTTTGCTATTTGAATAATTTGATGTCAAGAAATAAAGTAGACAGTTGGCTTTCTAACAAAAAATGAAAAAGTTAACAGTTTAAAACAATCTAAAAATAAACTTTAATTACAATACACCTTTAGCAGCTATTGTGTTGAAAATTACAGCTTTCTAGGAAGTAGGACAAAACATTTCTTGAATTACAATTTTTTGTTTGTTTGTTTTTTTCAAGACAGGGTTTCTCTGTGGCTTTGGAGCCTGTCCTGGAACAGCTCTGTAGACCAGGCTGGTCTCCAACTCACAGAGATCTGCCTGCCTCTGCCTCCCGAGTGCTGGGATTAAAGGTGTGCACCACCATCACCTGGCGATAGTGATGTTTTTTAAGACTTTCCTTTTAATTTTAATTGTATATGTATCGGGGTATTGTACCTGCTTATGTGTCTGCGTACCATGTGCATACAGTGCCTTTGTAGACCAAAAAGGGTATTGGACCCCTGGGACTGGTGTTACTAAGGGACAGTTAAGAGGTGCATACAGATGCTGGGAATCAAACTCTGGTCCTCTGGAAGAGAATCTTGAGCCATCTCTCCAGCACCTTGAAGGCCAGCTATCTTTTCTTTCCTCTTTTGCTTTCTAAATTCGTTGAAAAATAATGTGTACCAAATGTGCATGACATTCTTTGTAAAGGTCACAGTTAAAGTGCATACAGAGTCACAGAGTCTCAGATCTTTTGTAATAAGTATTTGAACTTTATAATGAGGTCCTTGGCCTTTTTTTTTTTTTTTTTTGGCTGAGGTTGGGGGAGCCACTGCAGATTCCACTTTCTCAGGGTTTTCTCTTTCTTAACAACCCACAACAGCAAGATATTTAAGTTAACTTTCATTAACTACATGGTAGTATTTGATGTAGTCAGTTAGAAAACCTGGTTTTCTTCTTTCACACTGGTGGGAGGACACAGTGGTTTTAAATGTTTTGTACAGCTGTGTGAATTTTCTCTTTTTTTTTCTGTTTATGGACCTAGGTTTTACATTTATAAAGGAACTGGTCAAATAGTTAATAGTACATTATGGACTAATACAGGGCTTTCCTTGTAAAAATAGTGAGAGGTGGGGGAAACTGTTCTTGAGAATTTTCTTTAGAAAATTACTGACCCAAGAGAAATTTATACATCAACTGTTACGTAGAAAAAAAAAGAGGACTAATTAGATTATTCTAGAAAGTTTATGAAATTCTGAATTATAACACTTCTTTGGGAAGGCACTTTTTAAAATGCTAATTCCTGTAAAGTTTTGTCGAACAATTAGAGAACTGTGAATTTCCATTCCATCATTGGTATTTCTAGTTTCTTGGTTTTTTTTTTTCTTTTTTGCTCTTGAATGTACTTTGAATTTTTGCTGTGTTAATCATTAACAAAAATGCAAACACCCCTTTTTAGATTTGTGTGTGACTCTTTGCTGAGAATCTCTTCAATATTAACCAGTGATTCTTGAGAAACAGAAGAAAGCAATATTTTTCAGTGAATATTGTGATAATGGATTTTATTTTATTTTATTTTATCCTTTCAGGATTTGAAAGTATTCTTGAAGGGCTGTTTGGACCTGCATTATTAAAAGATCTCAGTTTATTTAAAGGTATTAAAAATACTTGTGGTATTTCACAACCCTGGTGATTTAGGTCTCATACTCAGTTTTGTAAGGGTTAAACTGCATTTGTGTTAGCATCCTTGTTTGTTCTATACTGTTAGTATGTGTGTAGGTAGCATAATTAACTAGTGAGCAGCTAGTGAAGAATTTTTAAGACAGAAGTGGTTAGGGGGCATAGTGGAAAGAATTTCAGGGTATGGCTGGGGTAGAGTACAAATATTTGCATGTGTGGGACCCTGAGTTTGATTAAAACACAAGAATTCATTCGGGCAGTGGTGGTACACACCTTTAATCCCAGCACTCAGAAGGCAGAGGCAGACTTTAAGGCTAGCCTAGTGCTAGGACTGTTAAACAGAGAAACCCTGTTTTGGGGGAAAAAACGCATAAGAATTTAATGAGGGTTTTCTTACACTACATCATATTTTGAAGTTAGCTATAGTTTATTTTCTGGAAAAATTTTTTATGACTATTAAAACTTGTTTTCCTTACTTTTGCAGAGTGTGAACCCGAAAGCATTTCTGATTGGGCTTTTGATGAGAATTGTTTGTTCTGTTGCTTGAGAAGAGATAAAGTAAAGGTAACCAAGAAATTTGGGAAACTGTCTAGTATGGTATCTTAGTTTCCTTTTTAAAAAAATTAAATCATTTTCAGGAAAAGGAAAATTTGATATCCTGTTTATATACAAGAGTTGATAGTAACTGTCTTTTCAGTTTAAACTGTTTCCAGTATGTTGATGAGCCTATTAAAAAATCTTACATCCTGACATACATTCTTATGTATATTTAGGCAGAATAATTGACTGGGTCTCAAGCTTTTTATCTTAAATATAAAAGTTTATGGTAATTTAAAAAATAGAAGTCTTTTGTGATACAAAAAGATAGTAGTTACCAATTAATGTAGACTTAAGACTTAGTAAGCTTATATTTTTAAATGGTTTTTTTTTTTTTTTTGTAAATGTTTCTGGCCATGTTCAACCTTTGGGTTTCTGTTTTACTGCCTTGAAAAAAAAAAGCATAATTTTGTGCTGGAAAGATTTCAGTTACTAAAAACTCAATGGTGGGTTTACCACCTTCCCTTGCTTTCATGGTATTCTGTTCCCAACAGTTTCCTGCTACAAAGCCTAGGAAGCATTATGATTTATTCTTTCTTTTATGGACTAACTTTACTTCATTGGCAAACTTCTGTCAGTTACTCCTGTTGAATTTTGTTCTTTTTTCATCTCTATGGTCATCACTGTAGTCCATACTCGTAGCATTATTTCTGGACATTTTCTTAAATACCTCTTCTTTGTAGCTTGAGAATCTCTTGCTTTTTTCTTATGCCTCTGCTGTCCTATGAATGGTACACACCTGCTCCTGTTGCCATTTTACCTTTCGTAGTGTTGTAATCTATGTAATTTATACCAATTACTTTTTTAGTTGGTATTAGGCCTTTTTTGTTCTGCCTTTTCTGAAAGTTTTGAGTATTTGTTCCTTTATTTCTAATTGCTGAAAATGGCCATACTTACATCTTCTTTGTATCAGTTATTGCTGTTTTACTGATTATTGTTGAAATGTAGTGTTTGACATCTGAATGCTATCGTGTGAGCAGTTTAAGAGCTTCTTAGATATATTAGGGCATCTTTTTCTTGTTTTCCACATGAAAAATTGTTGCTACTGCTATACATGGTAGTCTATTTTTGTTAAAAACAAAGTTGTTTTGAAATTTACTGGATTTGAATGAGTAGAGAATAAAGCAACATTTTTAACTGTAGGCTATAGATGGAGTTAATGTTTGATGTTTAAATTCTGCGTGTTTGCATTTATGTGTATATCTTGGATACTAGCTATTGAGCAAAGCATTTAATTAGGAATTGTGGTAGGAAAGGAGAACCAGTTGTTTTCAGATTAGAATTGGGCCAAGTAATGGGTACAGTATGTTACTGTTATATGATTGAATTTTAACTTAAAATATTTTTCTGTGGGGAGGGGGTATTTGCACATATGTGTGCAGGTTTGCTCATCTGTATGCGTACACATAGAGGCCAGAGGGTTGACTGTGGATATCTTCCTCTATTGCTCTTCACTTTATCATTTGAAACAAGGTCTCACTGAACCTGGATGTCACTGCTGACATTCAGACTGTCTGGCTAGTGAACCCTTGGCATCCATCTGTGTCCTTTGTTCACCTAGCTCCCTGCAGCTATTCCAGGTGTGTACTCTTCGTGCCTGACCTTTTCATGGGTTCTGGGGATCTGAACTTACTGAGTCATCTTCCCAAATGGAGAAAGGGTGTTTCTGTTTGACAGCTCAGTTGGTTCTAAGAGTCTGTTTTCTTCATTTGACACCACACAATCTCTGTGATTTATGATTTTTTTTTTCAAGAGAGCCATCCAGTACTGGAAAATAGGAAGTGAAGAAGCCTAAGTAATATAAAATTTATAATATGTAATATATATAATATAAAAATATAGAATTTATAAAAAGCCTTTGTTGTATTATATTAAATGTATTATATGTCCTGAGACTCTTTGCAGACATTTATAACATCTTACCTGAGAAAGATTAGAATTTAGAAATAAACCTATTGCTTTGTAGCTTACCTATATAAAAATAGAAAATAATGGAAATATCAAGAAAATATGGTAATATCTAACAATGTTGTGCATGTTACTGGATTCTTGAGTTTGGGGTTAATGATGAGAGTACGTCTGGAAAAACAGAAGTAATAGCCTATCTGAGAAAGAGATTGCTGTTGTGTATTTTTTTAAGATAATTGGAATTTTAGTGACTAATGAAGCTGTTAGAATGAATAACGTAAATACAACTTTAATATTTACTCGTATGTAGGTGAAAAAAATCAAAAATAGCTAGCTATCTTTGGGAAATGGAACTGATAATCACCTATTGTTTACAGCAGTCATTCTTTCTGGGAAAATGTATTTCTACGACCTAAAGTTATTGCGTGTATTGAGTCTTGTATACATACTGCTTTTTCCTGTGTATAAAAGCTTATATCTTATAATTGGGCACAGTAGAAAGCAAACAACAATGACTAAAGTTGTAACACTCAGAATTTTTCCTGTTTATGCTTCCGTTCATCAGACTTTGATGTATCATGGCTATAACTTTGTCAAAACTAGCACAAATTTTGCTTTCCTTAACATTTTCACAGATTGAGCCTATCCCTCAATTTTTTTTAAAGATTTATTTATTTCACTTTAACGTGTGTCAGTGTTTTGCTTGCATATATGTCTGTGCATCATATTCATGCCTGGTGCCTGCTAAGGTCAAAAGAGGGCATTGGGTCTCCTGGAAGTGAAATTACAGATGGTTGTGAGCTGCTATGTGGATATTGGGACTTGAACCTGGATTCTCTGGAAGAACAAGTGCTCTTAATTAACTGCTGAGCTAGCTCTTCAGCCCCTATTATTAGTTTCTTAGCAGCCTCATTATACAAGTTTTAAAATATTTTTATTTTTTAATCATGTGTATATGTGTATGTTGGAAGGAGGGGCTTGTGCCAGTGGATACCAGAGGTGTTGGATCCCTACGATGGAATTTTGATGTGGGTGCAAAAAATTGAATTCTGTTACTTCTGGGAGGAGTAATACATATTTTAATCCAGCTCAGCATATGATTTTTTTTAGCCCTTAGAATATTAAGAACCTTTCACTCATATGAAGTATTTTATGGCATTTCGGAATTTCCAGCTTCACTACATTAGTGTTTTGGGCATTATTTAGTAAGATACAGTCTTTAACTGTAGACAGCACTATGGTAGCATGGCAGTTTGGTGACTGACATATGACTGTTGTGTATGGCGTGCATGCACCAGACCAGAGTGCGGCAGCTTGAGATTTCATCTTACCTGTAATAGCACATACCAAAACTTGGTAATTATTACTGGGATTTTTTTTTGGCGGGGGGGGGGGGTTTTCGAGACAGGGTTTCTCCGTAGCTTTTTGGTTCCTGTCCTGGAACTAGCTCTTCTAGACCAGGCTGGCCTCGAATTCACAGAGATCCGCCTGCCTCTGCCTCCCGAGTGCTGGGATTAAAGGCATGCGCCACCACCGCCCGGCTTATTACTGGGATTTTGCATTTAATAGTTGACATGGAAACTATGGAAAGTAAAACCACCAATAAGAGAAACTGCTTTAATCAAATACCACAGAGCTTAGGGAATATAATTTATAGGTAACGATAGCCATCTTTTGAGTAACCTCTCTGCCAATACCTTTTTGTATGTTATGGTTTAATCCTCAAAATAATCCTGTGAAGTTGGTTTAAAAATATTCTAATTTTACAAATAAGAAAATGGAATGAAGGGGTCAGAGACTGTTACAGGCAAAGCCACATAGTTGAGATTTCATGTTTGTTTTTGGCATTAATCCAGTTTGTTAACAAAAATAGCAGTGGAAATGCTGAACGTGAGAGGAAGAATTGAGCAGGACTTGGGATGAGGAAAATAAATGAGTGTAAAATAGTTCAGTGCTGTTTGAAATGGCCAGTTTTATTTAGCTATGCTGGGAGCCAGTGAGTCCCTGACTTCTTGACTTGCTTACATCTTTTCCTTTTTTGTTTATTGGCAAAAGTAAGTATTTTGTGTATTTACTAAAAAAGAAGCAAGAGATTTCATAAATTTGAAAAATTATATTAATATGTATTTTGGGTGTATCCATCTGCCAGGAACATATTTGTAATCCTCATTACTTACTCATCTGCTTGTTAAATTTTTTTCTTTGGGCAGGGAGGGATATTGTTTTTTTGTTGTTGTTTTGAGATAGATTTACTCATAGACCATGTTGGTCTTATACTGCTAATCGTCCCATGTACTAGGTGATTTCTCTCTTGCCTGTCAGTTCCCAAATAACCACTCTGAGGCTTAATATTATGGCTTATTTATTATTAGCTAGCTCTTAAAACTTATACTGACCCATTTCTATTTATCTATATCTTACCACGAAGCTTGTGGCTTCTTACCTCACATCTTTCTTCCCCTTAGGCTGCTAGCATCTCCTTGACTCCTCTGCCTTCTTTCTCTTTGTATTCTATTTGGCTTTCTTGCCTAGCTATATTCTGCCCTGCCATAGGCCAAAGAAGCTTCTTTATTAACCAATAATAATAAAACATATTCACAGCATGCAGAGGGGCATTCCACATCACTCCTGCCTCAGTAGCCTGAGTGCCACCATGCCTGTCATTTAGCCTTTAAAAGGTTTTTTTAAGGCATAAAATGTGTATGATGGTGCTATAATATGTAAACCTCAAGTAGGAAGCATTAAGGACAAATTCCCCAATCTCATATAAGTATTTTTAGAGCAAATTGATAATACAAGAGAATATAAATAATAAAAATAATAGATGTTACTGGAGTTGCTTTATCTAGGAAGTAGAAACTAATTTGTACCTCAAAAGAAAATCTGTACCAAAGTTGATGTAAGTAGTTGTTTTTTTGTGTGCAGTAGAGAGATTCATAATGAGAAAATCATAGGATCTAGCAGTAACCCAGATAATGAGCCTGAACTAGACTTTTTAATTTGAATATTCATAGGGATTCATTTAGGAAATCTGATCTAAAGTATTACCGGTACTTGGT